CGCCGTTTGATTTACACGGCCATGTTAGCTCCGATATTCCCAGAAGAGCAGCGCGTTCCGCGGTCCTAGAATCGCAGCTGTCTGCTGCGCTCTATAGTTGCTCGTTTGTATGCGTTCCACAGCTCGAGCAAGGCGTCAGCCGGGCGGACCGCACCAGGTTAACCGCGTCGCCAGCTCATGCAAATGCAAATTGCAACACCCTGGCTATTCATGGATAGTCGTGTACAGCCTGCGATAACAAAGTGGACTAACAAGCACACCAACCCGGGGCCTTGCTCGGCTCCCGGCGACTCGAGCTGGTGAAGAGATATGCCGGGATCCAGGGCTGCTTTATACACAGATACTACGTGTAAGTATAAGCTTCAAGCCACACAGTACGCTGGTTGGAAAATTTGATTGTCTGCCTGTCCATGTGTGCCCAAATATTTCTGCCTTTTCAGAATACATTTTTACTTTTATTTCTATTCTTCACATCTTTTTTTGTGAATTGGACCAATCATTCACCAAAACAAGAAAAACCACGTGAATTGGAATAGACTGCGAAAGACTTCACCACTGGTAAGTCTGACTCTGAATGCGCAGTCATTATTTTGCCGTTTCGACGGACGTTCGTGCCGTGTTTGCTCTGCACTAATCGCAGGAAACACCTGATCATTCAGCATAAACCTGTCATTCCACGGCCTCAGCTATGGACGGTATCAATTAGGAAAGTTTGTAATGAGGGGTGTGGGGAGCCCTAACGGCCTCGTCGCTCATGACACCGCCAAACGAAACGAACGACGAGACAACATTTGATTACTGGTTGGGTTATAACTGAAAACTAGCCCTCACCGGGATAGTTTTCTACAACCGCTAGATCTGATAGACTTCATAAATTACGAGTCACAAACATTGACAAACCGTGTCTTGAAAATACTAAATAAAAGAGATACTGAATAAATGTCTGAAGATTCTGACAAGTGTAATGATTATGTGTAATGTACCGGACAAATGCAGCTCTCTCACTTGAAAGAGGCAACGAATGCAGAAATAAGGCTAATAATACCATGTTTAGTGTGCCGCCATTAACTTCAATTAAATGAATCACGTTTCTCGGAGATTTTCACCGCAAGATCAAAAGCGGACAGATGTCGTGGGCCGCTGCCCGCACTGTACTCGTAAGTACATACGCGGTGCCGTTTCTGAGAAACAGACTGAACTACTCAGCCTGCACTTCCTGGTTGGGCTAACTTGGGAAACAGATGTAGGAATATTAGTGTAGGTACTGACTTTGACGGAGGCCTGCTAACCTCCTTTGTTGTTCTACATTTGAGCTTATTTTAAACGCATTACGCTAATAAGTACGTGGAATTACTACGTTGCATGAGCAACACAAAACCACTTTGAAAAACGGCATCGAAATCTTTCAAATTGAAGAAACGTCAGAATGCATGATGAAGCATCACATGATCTTCCATTGTTCTCCAGAAAAGCATTTCAATGACCAATTCATAAAATACGAACTATGAGCATGGTTGTGCAAGCATGCCTACAGTATGTATCAAGTTTCCTTTGCAATATCAAATTACGATCCCCCAAAAGTCTGATATATCTCCTCAGCATATTCTCCAATCTTCCGGCTCAACTTCCGACTAGTCATTGATGGTGCTAAGATCGTTATACAAATGAAACAGCCTGCGATCCTGAGAAAGTTTCTTCGCCAATCCGACACCCAATTAGATCTCATATCAATCCAAATCACTTCATTAAGGGTCAAATTACATCCGCCGGAGCGGCTTTAATTCGATGCGAATGAGTTTGGTCGTCCAGCGCTGCCAGCCGGGATGGCATTAGTACGCCGGCAGAGTAAGTCTCCGAATCCAGACGTAAGCCGGCGAGCCCCGGAGGCGCGCGTAATAAGGACCCGCGCTGCAGACGCGCAGGATTCCAAAACGGATATTGAGCTCCGCCTGCATTGATATCAGTAGGACCGGTTGCATGCTTTTTGTCAACAGCCGGCCTACCATATCCCCGAAATGGTTATTGAGAATGTTTCGGCCAGTATTTGACAAACATCGTTTGTACGAGGATGCGGTAGGCGAAATTGCAAGAAGCGAACAAGGTTTACCCCGTGTGTTACGCAACAGTTCATGTTTTATGAGCAAGGGACATCCGTTGGGAACCAGAATTGTACAGGTCACCGCTAAAGTAATGTGGGGTTCTACTGTGATCGAACAAAACATAGCGCCATTCCTTGACGGTAAGATATATCGTCAAAAGCGAGGATCGCACAGCTTCGTATTTCAGATTGACAACTTTCTCTAATGTGTCACCATTCTACCTGCCACAGCATGCTCGTTATCATCGAAAAACTGAAATATCGAGCCCCTTGGAGCACCCCGGAGTCATGTTTCTGTGACCGCCACTGAACACAGAGTTGTAAGCCTACGCGCGTGCGTACTACGCAATAGTAAGGAGTCATTGCTGGACCCTCCAGTAGAGAGTAGCCCTGCCATTGATGATCCGGACACCAGCATCGGCCGATAGGAGCTGCTCTCTGACAGGCGAGGAGGGGGAGGGTCTGAGGTGGCGGGGGGGGGGGTTGACCGCGGGGCTACTGGCCGGTGCAGTGGGAGGGGTGGGTGGAGGTAGGGTGACAGGGACACCAGCCTCAGGGCAACAGTGAGCTTTGACCCGAGGCGTGCGAGAGCGATGCCCGATGCCATTTTGTGAAGCAGCCAGCGTGTCACGGATTCACGTGGGAGCTTTGACTGAAGTTCTATCAAGGCTACAGTTTTGAAGATATAAAAAACAGCATTTGAGAGAAGATGTTCGTAATGAGCAGTTGTAACTTACTACAATATCAGATTTACCATTTAATTTAAAATATTTGAATGAATTGATGTTTTGCATAACAATAGCCGATCAGAATACGTTAAATTTTAACCACCTGTATAGTCTAATTCTGTAAAATATTTGTGCATTGGCTTCGGTTGTCCGCCAAACTTTTTTGTTCATTGAGTGCCTCATCGACATGACCTGTATTACAAGATTTACGCTGTAGCAAAATCCTACGCTAGCTGTATGAGCAGAAATGCTGTATGACAAAGGCACGGGCGCCCGACAACTGGGTCGAGGCAGGTGGAGGCCGGCCAGAGGTCATGCTCGTATCAATCACCCTTGACCCCGTCCACCGCCCCCGGCGGATACTCAACAGTGCGCTCATTGGCTCATTGGTTTGTCTCAGTGAGCGCCAATCACAGTCAGCTCAGTGCGCGTGCTGCGTGTGAAATCACAACGAAGCACGATACCGCCATAACCCTATACTTGGAACAGGCCTTCTGGACGGCGTTGCCAGTTAATAAGGTGGGGGGAGAAATTCGACATACAAATAAGTTTCTAAAATAAAATGGTCAGTGGATGAATAGCATAACATTTCTTTCAACGTTCACTCGTTTTCATAAAAAAAAGACGAAGAGAAGAAATAACGTTGAAGCATATGACTATTAGGCGAGCCAATGCTTTTTTTAAATTTATATTTATGGAAGGGTGCAATGTAATTGCAGTCACACTTGTATTTTTTTAGCGATTGCAATTTGAATTGATCATTCCGTACACGGTCTGAAGCTATCGGGATAAATAATTGAAATACCTGGGTGAATTGCGCCACCCATGTGCCGATGAGTTTGAATTTTTCCGCTTTGCGAAAAAAACAACTGTTTTGCAAGAAAGACGGCTTCCGTTGACCAAACGTTTATTGTCATCTCAAAGGGCGGCGACCACCTCCCCGTCCCTCCTCGACCCCTCCCCTTTATTTACACGACGGAGTCCCGTCCCTCACCGCCGACTGGTCACGTGATTGGCCTCGCCCGAGGCCCAGCCGACTGATCCGGAGCGCGGTAGGCGTCATGCCATGCTGCTTTAATCACTCACCACATCGCGGCTACTGTTCAGAGAGCCGTGACACCAGAAACGTCGTGGCGGAGCGGTTAAGCGTTAGGCTATGGATCGCGGGTTCGGTCCGCGCCGGGGTTGTCCGTTTTCCACAGACTGGTTCTGGCCGGCTCAGGCGAGATGGATATATCTTTTGAGGTTATGACCTCACGAGCACTATGAATACAATCGACATTCGTTGACTCTTGTTCGGTCATAAGATATTAGCCGATTATATGTTTGTGTATGGAAATATTTCTTCTAATTCGCAAAAAGTAGCCGACTCACTTTATCATCATATCGTCACTTGACGTCATTGCACTGGCAAGTGAGTTGCTAGAAATGTGACCTCGTCAGAACCATTTTGCAGGTTGTTAAAAGGACAGACAAGTCCATTGGCTGCGGTGACTATGCAGCCTGCCCTGACCATGTAAACGGCATTGTGACTAGTTCAGCCACGAACACATTCCGCATTTTCCTAGAAAGAACTATCGGCACGCTCGGTGCCGCGGAGGGTATGCCAACCTAACAGACCCGCACTGCCCAGCGCTCCGCTAGCCCGGAGGCGGTTGGCGAGGCTGACCCCACTGACCTCGCTCCGCGACCAGACTCTCGGTCACTCACGCCACAACCGAGAGGCGCCAGCCTCGACGCAGGAGCATCTGGCGCCATTCATGCTGCCTCCGAACACGGTGATTGGTTTGCTGCAGAGTCACGTGGTTGGGGCATCAGTGGCGTAATCAGGAATTTAGTTACCAATCTCACCAACAGATGGCTCTGACCGACGATTTTTAAATACGGAGTGATCTAAAGGTAGGTGACATAATACGAGCTTACAGCTGCAATGATGATGGCACGTGTAGGCTACATTCCAAGTTTCATGATAATCTGACAAATGGTTCCCAAGATACAGATGCAAACTCTAACCACTACGGATACCCCACATTACTTCAGCGGTGACCTGTACATACTCATTGGGAAGCGTTGAGCTGGCGGCGCGACTTCTTATGGGTACGCCACTTGCCGAGCATTCATGAGCATCGAGCAATGAGCACTCGTCCCACCCCTCCCCTCCCCGCGGCACTCACAGTAGACGTCCAGGGTGACGGTGCCGGCGCTGGGCTCGGTGCTGTTGCTGTTCTCGGCGCTGCAGGTGACGTTGGTGCGCAGGTCAGCACGGCGCACCTCCGGCAGCACCAGTTCGCTCATCACGCTGGTGCCGCGAGCCACCGCGGTGCCGGCCGTCACCACCACACCAGACACGTTCTGCACCAGCCAGCTGATGCGCGGCCGAGGGTAGCCTGAGGTAGAGGTCAGGTCAGGTCAGGCCAGAGGAAAGCAGGAGCGTTGTTGTGAAGATTAAAACCCAGGGAGAATGCTTCTTGATCTTATTTAATGAAATGAAGATTAAAAGTCGGGGAAACTACCTTTGATGATCTTAGCAGATCTGCTTTCAGGTCTTCCACTCTACAGTTATTTGAGCCTTCTAATACCGTCGTCTCTTTAACTTTGCTCGGCTCAGTTTCTCTCTTCCCTTCTCCTCCACTTTACTCTGACTTTTCACGACATCAAGTTTATGCATTCATCAGGCATCTTCAAAGGAATTCAATATTATAAATTTACAAACTGTGACGCGTTCAAAGACGAAACGCACTTCTGAACGCACTTTTCATACATTCATCAAACTACGCTACGGCGAGCAAACAACGCCGCACACAAGGAAAATGGCTCGAAAATGCACCTGCGGGGACTCGTCTTCGCGGCGAGCCTTACCTTCCTTCACCTCACAGGACAGCCAGAGACGTTCACCCTCCGTTAGCGCCTGCTGACTGTTGTTGGCGAGGATGTGGCCGGTACTGTTCCGAATAATCGGAGCCGAGGGTGGCACTGAAATCAACAGTGACACAGACTGTCAGTGATGACCAGACACAACTCATCTGCCAGTTCAAATGCAATTAGTGCCCTCATCCGTGATGCCGGTTGAGGACTTCAACTTTGGGAGGCGCCGTCCCGTCACTTTCCGTGCGTGATGCGGTGACCCCCAGACCGGCGCAGTCCGTAGGCGGACCGTCGCCTCCCGTCTCCGCCACTCGTGTCCCGTCACCTGGCTCTCCGGGCGTCGGTTATTGCCGCTTCGGCCGGTCGACCGTCGCCCGCCGGAACCGAGGGCGTGTGGGCGATCGGTGCCTCAGCCGCCCACGGCCCACTCCACATTACTGACACATCAGTCGCCGTGGAACTGACGTCGCCCCGAGTGACCCTGGCCGACTCATACCGGCGGCGAACGGTTCTGTCAGACGCATCAGGTGCGGTTGAGAAACTTTGATGGAAATGCAGCGGCACAACCTAGCCTGTGGTAGCTCCTGAAGTCTTCTTTGAACGGCAAATAGAAACGTTTGCTTTTGCTTTTGATTACCTTCCCAAGTTTCAGAAGATGTTAACTCAGGTTTGTAAGATACGCTCTTGGAAACGTTTAGTTGAAGTCTGGTAAGTGTGAGTCTATAGAATAACTGTTCTGAGAAAAACATAACCAGAGGGCTTATGTTACTTTCTTTGACCCAGAGCAATTGGATTGTATCAACAGTACGCTGAGGCGTATTGGATCTGTGTCGGATTTTATCAAATAAGGTAGCTTATACAACCTGAACTATTTATCATGTTTTCCTTTCACTTTTTCTAACCTACTTCAACAATAATAACGTGCTCGTCCTTCTAAGCAAAGAACTATAGACGCTACCTATGTGCTAATTTAAAAGGCTAGACAAAGTTTTTTCCCAAAATTATTGACCAAAATTTAGAAACGCATCATTCAATCTCTTCGCAAGTATCCATCCCCACATTTCAAGTCGCCGGCCAGTCACCGCCCAGTCTCCGGTCCCCGGCGGGCGCTACCGTCTCTCCCCTCTCTCTCTCTCGCCTCTCCCTCTCTCCGGACATCCGTAGAACCCCCGGCGGAACTGTGACACAGCGGCGGAGACAGACGTGGACGTGTCGCCTTTCAGTGCCACGATTCAGCAGACAGGAACAGAGCGTCACGGACTCACGGCAGGGTGACAGAGGCGTCCGAACTGCGGTTCTGAGGGAGGGAGGGAAGGAGGGAGGGGGAGAGAGAGAGAGAGAGAGAGAGAGAGAGAGAGAGAGAGAGAGAGAGAGAGAGAGAGAGAGAGAGAGAGAGAGAGGAAAAGAAAGATAGAATATAGAAATGGAGGAAGAGGAAAATAGAATAAGAACGAAGGAGTGAAAGAGAAAGAAAGAAATATGAGACGACTTTGTCGCCCATCATTTTATCAACCCCCATACCCCCTGTTGCGAACGAATCGAATTCCGACCCGATCGACCGGTAAAGTTACGAATAAGCAAAATCCGAATAATACGAAAGTCGAATTAAACTTGTTCCGAATCGATCAATCTACGAGTCCGCCATCCGTCTCGTATATTGTCCGCCATTTGTCCTTCTAATTTCAACGAGTTCATTCACACGACAACAATAGCACCGACGAAATTCCGACTGCGTGAAAATATGCAAAATGGCGCGTGCCATAACACACTGGAGCCGCTACGGCGGCGACATCCTCCCCCCCAAGAGTGACCCGTCGTCACCCTTGGCACCATGCCCACCGATACACACACTGGGCAGAGCGCAGTTGCACCACTAATCACCATCATCATCACTCCCCTCGAGGAGACACACTTTGCTAGCAGGACGGCGGAGACGTCCTCTAGCGGTCACTATATCCACAGAACGGACACGACCATCGGGTCCAGGGTACACCTGAGCGACTCGAGCCAGCGGCCACAATCCCTTTGGCGTGTCGTCGCCGGCTAGCAGCACCAAGTCTCCGACGCGCAGGTTCCGAACGTCTGACGTCCATTTGGTGCGCTGAGCGAGGGTGGGGACGTATTCCCTGAGCCATCTTCGCCAGAACTGTGTGGCTATGGCTCGTGCTTGCCGCCAGTGACTCCTGACATTCATTCGTGATGAGTCACTGAGCTGAGACGGCAGGAGACACGCCGGTCTGCCGAGAAGGATGTGACTGGGAGTGAGCGCTTCAAAGTCACTGGCTTCTGAGCTGACGTGCGTCAAAGGTCGACTGTTGATGACTGCCTCTACTTCTGCGATAGCGGTCAGTAGAGCTTCTTCATGAACGATGAAGTTTCCAAGGACTACTCGGAGTGCTCGTTTCACGGTTGCCACCATTCGCTCCCAAATACCTCCCATATGGCATGCGTTGGGAGGATTGAAAAACCAGCGGATGTTGTCTTGGGCGAGCCGATCACTGATGCAGCCTTGATTTAAGTCGGTTAGAAGACGTAGGAGTTCAGCTTCCCCTCGGCGGAAGTTGGTTCCGTTATCCGAGTACACCGAAGCTGGCCTACCGCGACGAGCGACGAAACGCTGGAAGGCCATGAGGAACGATTCGGTGCTTAAAGATGTCGATAGTTCGAGGTGGACTGCTCTGGTAGACATACATGTCACCAGCAGACAGTATCGCTTCTCCGTCTTCCTGCCTACTTTGGTGAGTATCGGGCCGAAGTAATCGATGCCGACGTTGCAGAATGGGTGTGTCACAGCTAAGCGCGCTTTCGGAAGCGCAGCCATTCTTGGCGTTTGAGGCTGGGCTCGTCTTCGTCGACAGAGCGGGCAGGCTGACAGGATCTTCCGCACTGTCGCCCGTGCCCTGGGGATCCAGTACAGCTGTCTGGCTTCATTGATGACGTGTTCGGCGCCAGCGTGCAGAAGCTGGCTGTGGAAGTGCGTGACTACTAATCGAGTCACTTCACTGCTGCGAGACAGGATCACTGGATGGCGAGCCGTGGCTGGGAGCGGTGCGTTGAGGAGCCGACCACCGACCCGAATGACACCGTCTTCATCCAGCCAGGGTGAGAGTGCCAGCAGACTACTCTTGCTAGAGACCGATCTGCAGGGGTGTCGTTTTCCGAAAATGATTGGTAGTGCCCAAAGGCGGCGGCTGGCCATATATGACGGGGCTTACAAGGTAGGGTACCCCCAAATCTGCCTTTCTCATCGGATTTCGGCCACTTATTTTTCGTCCTGGTCATTGACAAGACTAACCGAAATCTAAAAAAAAAACACAAAAAAACTTTGGAAATCTGGGTCCACACCGGACGCCATGCACAAAACGTGCAGTTATATAGGCAATACATAGTGTCGGAGGAATGCACGCCATTCTGAAAGAGGCCCACATCGACTTAAAAGGACGGCTGTGCTGAAAGGGGACAGGAACAGCTTTGAGGGCCAAAGCCGATTAAAAAAGACGGCTGCGGGGCCAGGAACGGTTTTGAAGACCCACGCCAATTGAAGGGTTCGACAACTAACGAGGACTGGAAACACAACGATAGTTAGAAAGACCTGCTTGCCAAAATAAAAGGATGACAGTACGAGGGGCGTTCAGAAAGCTACGGGCCCGACCATGAAGGAGCAGAGAGATACAGCATCGACTCATTAGACCAAAAAGTTCATTTATTCAAATAAACACCGTTAAGACAAACACATTTCGCGCAGCGCTTCGCGAGAGCCCTCAAGGCCTCGACCCCTCCCCCTGCCAGGCCGTGTTATGAAAAATGCCCAGGGCGAGGGTTAACGCTTGGTGCCTTTTCTGCACTAACTACTATGAAACGAATCACTGCTCTCTTCTGGGCGTCGCCCATCCTATCCGAAATGGCGAACTATGCTACGAATAGAAGCCCGAATCAATCACAGAAGAGACTTAACCCACGAGCCGCTGGGGGGGGCATAAAGTTGCCCCCCCCCTTTACGTTTTGTGGAATATCTCCGAAACCTGATGAGCTACGAACGTGAAACTTGGCATAGCTTCAAATAAATACCTAGGCAATGTTTGAAGAAAGTTTGGTGGTTGTAGCATCTAAGATGACGTCACAGTGACGTCATAAAGTTTTGTCGTTTTCCGATATGGACCGTTTCTGATGACGCTGAGCATGAAACTCAACTGTAAATGAACTAGACAGCACCTGCTGTCATCCTAAAACATCTAAGTACACTTCCATCTAGTTGCTAACCAAAAATTGGCCCTTTATATTCGGTCCCATATACCTGATGTATCGTGAGGAAACAGAGAGTCGCAAATCTATAATTTGACTTATGACGTCACTGTGACGTCATTTCAAATGGGATCGACACCAAATTTGGACACAACCTCGGCTAGGTATTCAGGAAGATGTGTGCAAAGTTTCGCTTCTCTATCTCTTCGCGTTGCGACGATATCGCCGCGGAAGTAAAGGGGGGGGGGCAACTATATGCCCCCCCCAGCGGCCGGCGGGTGGCGCGGAGGCCCAGCGGCCGCCGGGTTAATTAATGGCCACTTACTTAATTTGCGTAAGTGGACATCCCAATAACACATCATTTAACACACCGCCTTGCAGGCCAAAATTCCAACTCCTTCATTGTTCGGCCCGAAACTTTTTGAACGCCCCTCGTAGTTACGAGCTTCAGTTTTCGGGGTCTGATGCGGTAATGACCTGGCGTTGAACCCTGGGGAATCAGGCTGCATCACCCACTCAAATCAATATACCTATGGCCTATTCTGGAGCACCGCGGCACCTTCCGAAGTCGGTGTAGGGCCTCCAGCGGCTGGTGTGGAGACGGATCGGGATCTATTAGGGGCGGTCGCGTGGTATGCGGGACTCAGAGGCAGTTATGGACCTCTATAACCAATTGCGTTTTCGAGCCTCTTAAAATCCATTAAGGACCGGAGTCCTAGACACGTGAAACCTCATTGTCAGCTACATGCACCTACTGTGGCTAGAACCTTATTTATGTACTTGCATATGTGCTTATTTAATATTTGCTTATCTGTTTATTTTGATTTTTTATCAACTGATAAGTGACAAAAGATTGGTAGGGCTCAGCGAACATTGGTAGGGCCCAAATAAACATTGGTAAGGCTCGGGCCCTACCAGGCCTATACAAAACGACGCCCCTGCCGATCTGCCGTTCTTCAGGTCGATCAGTTCCTGATGATACTGATCATTTTGCATCTTGCGCAGAATAAGGTTTTCTGCATCGTTCAACTCTGTCACCGAGAGCGTGCCAGCACGGCGCCATTCTTGCTCTTCTTGAGAGCCGTGTCTGGCCACGAAGTTGCAGAGAAACCGCATCAGCCAGGCGACGGAGCGTTTGTAGCGAGTCCAGCTTGAGAATCTGCTGGGGTCAGGGAGAACAATCCCTGTGCTGAGATCAGTGGAGGTGAGATTCACGACCCTGACCTCGGGATCACCATCGTTTATGGCCTTTTGGCGAACCTCTGAAGGCCATTGATCCGGCGGCTGGCGAAGGAAGGCAGGTCCTTGAATCCAGCGGCTATCCGGTGTCAACTGAGAAGCCGGCAGACCCCGCGAGCAGTCGTCCGCCGGGTTTAGGTATCCTGGGACATGCCGCCACCGCGATGGTTCTGAGCCTTGGCGAATCTCCGCTATTCGGTTGGCGATGAACGTGTGGAAGCGCCTGCTTTCGTTGTTGATGTATTGGAGAACCACCATACTGTCGCTCCAAAAGTTGACTCCATCAATTGCGAGCTTCAGTTCTCTTCTGATGGCGTCTGCCAGTCGAACGGCTAGCACAGCCGCTTGAGTTTCAAGCCGAACGATAGTCATCTTCTTTAATGGAGCGACTCGAGTCTTGCTCATGACGAAAGAGACAGACACAGTGCCGTCAGCCGATGTCTCTCTGAGGTAGGCCACGGCCCCGAAGGCGAGCTCGAAAGCATCACAAAATATGTGAAGCTGCCGATCATGTGCAGGTGAGTCGCATGCTTTGAAGCTCCGAGGAACGATGAGTGCTTCTAGGCACGCCAATTCTCCTGTCCAACGAGTCCATTCCTCCGCCGTCGTTCCTGTGAGCTCACAGTCCCAGTCGAGTTTCAGTGCCCACAGCTTCTGCATCACGATTCTTGCGAGAAGAGTGAATGGAGAGGCGAATCCAAGTGGATCGTAGATGGAGGCAGCCATCTGAAGGATACCCCGTTTTGTAGGAGGCACAGTTCGGTGATGAACATGCAGCCTTAGCAGGTCAGTCTCTGCGTCCCACAGCAGACCGAGGACGCGTTCTGTCGGCAGCTGCACGGTCAGATCTGCCGCTGATGGTGTACGTTCGGACTCTGGCACAGCGGCGAGGACGTCACGAGAATTGCTGAGCCATTTGGTGAGTCTGAAGCCTCCTCGAGATACGAGTGCTGTCACTGCTGTGAGGCTAGAAATAGCCGAGTCGCTGTTTGGCTCCGAGCTGAGGAAGTCGTCCATATAGAAGTTGCAGAGGACCGCTTCTGTCGCCGCTCTGTCCGAGTCAGTGTCAGCCGCCATGTCATTGGCGGTCTTGCGAAGAGCATACGATGCCGAAGCCGGTGAGCACCGGGCTCCAAAGATAATACGGTCCATTTGGTACACATCAGGAGGCCGGGTGGTGTCCAAATCTCGCCAAAGAAAGCTGAGTGCCGGCTGATCGTCCTTCACTGCCGCCACCTGATGGTACATCTGTTCGATGTCGGCCGAAACGCCGACTTGCTGCTCCCTGAATCTCAGAAGAACGCCGGGAATCGCCTGAAGGAAGTCAGGGCCAGTGAGAAGCTGACTGTTCAGAGAGGTTCCTCTGTAGCTGGCTGCAGCATCGAATACCACACGGATCTTTCCTGGCTTGTTTTGGTTGACCACTGCATGGTGCGGCAGGAACCATCGTTTCTTGTCTGCTCTCTCGAGTTCTTCTGGGCAGAGCATTCGAGCGTATCCCTTGTCCAGATACTGTCGAAAGGTATCTTTGTATGCAGCTGCCGTCCCTGGTTGGCGGAGAAGTCTTTTTTCTGTGCTCTCAAGCCGATTCAGTGCTGCTGTGTAGTTGTCTGGCATGGAGACGTCGTCTGATCTCCACAGTAGACCGGTCTCGTACCTGTCCCCGCGCCATTTCGTCGTCTCAGCGAGCAGCTTCTCCGCGCGCCTATCTTCAGCTGATGAGGCGACGTTCTCGCTGAATTTGGTGCCGAAGGACTCGGTGGACCACCATTCCTTCACCAGAGAGTTCAACTCTTCTTCTCGAGTGTCAACTCGTGCCATGTGCATGACGTGACGAGCACCAGGCGAGACCAGCTGTGTGATGTTGCCGCTTAGACACCAACCAAAGGCTGTACGAACGGCCACTGGCTGGCCTGGCCTACCAACGCGTGCCTCGTGCTGCACTATTGCTTCAGTGACGTTAGCGCCTAACAGTAGTTCGATCGGCTTGTCACTAGTGTCTGGAATGTCGAGATCCGAGAGATGGAGCCACTCGTGTCGCCGACTCCAGTCGATTGTTTGCGGCTGCACGTTCAGCTTAGGAACGGAGTATACCTCTTGTACGGTAATATCCGCTCTTCCGTTTCCATCCGACATTGGCGATACCTGCAGTTCAAATCGGTGCACAGTTCTCTTCTCGCCGGCCCCTTCGACGTTGTTGAGTTGCAGCTCCTGGCGTTCTCCGATGATACCCAGGCGCTGCCTCAGCCGATCGGTGCAGAGAGAGGTTTGTGCTCCGGCGTCCAGTAGTGCGTGCGTGTCACTGCACTCGCCGTCTGGCCCGTACACACGCACTGGTACGACTTGAAGAAGTGTAGAAGTTCTGGTCGCATTTAGCGCGGCTCCGATCGTCCGATTAGTTGAGTGCTGAGGCCTCTTGCACCAAACTACCTAGCTAGGTAAAATCGAAAAAACCGGTTTCAGAATAAGCTAATCAGACGGTGGTAAATTTGTTTGCAATAGCCCAATACATAATCCTACAGGTGCTTGGTAAATTATACACGCAAATTGTCACATATGAGTCTTGGATTGGGTATACGATGCAAAATAATCCAAGCATTGGTGCAAGAGGATTTTGGTGCAAGAGGCCTCTGCTCTGCTGGATCCATATGTTGTTGGGTTTGCTCGAGCGCGGCAGCCTGCTCCGTTCCACGACGCTCGAAAACACGCTGGCTGCCATGTAGTAACTGGTGGTGTCTGCCTCCACAGCCGGCAGAACTGCACTGTTGGACAGATGTGGACGGGCACCTTCTCGAGATGTGTCCCGTCTCCAAGCAGCGAAAACATCTGTCATTGTCAGCGATGTATCGAGCTCGTTCCGACACAGACTTTTGGGCAAATGCATTGCAGAGAGCCAAGTCGTGTCGGCGATTGCAGAGGGGGCACGCCGGCTGGGAGCCATGCTGATTGGCCACCGTGGCGAGAGCCGAACGCGCACTCGATCCATGCCTCTGACGCGACGCCGGCGGTCGGCGACTGTCTGCCGCTGAGCTGATGCCGCTGTTTCCTTCACGCTCAGACATTGAGCTGCTGAGCAATATCCGGACTTGTAGAGCTAGCCAGTCATCCAAATCCGACAGTGTGACTTGCCTTGGCTCCAGCTCTACTGCTCGTTTTCCCCACTCGTGACGGAGTTGAATCGGCAGTTTCACGACTGCTCGTCGCAAGTTCTCGCGGCTCGTGACGTCACCATGATAGCCGAGCGATTGGAGAGTCGTAACCGCGGAATGGAGACGAGCTTGGAACTTTTCTAGGGCTGCTGCGTCGAGGTGCTTCAGAGGCTGGCTCTCGAAAACAGCCCTCAGGTGTGCAAAAACGATATCGTCACTACTGCCGAATCGACTTTGGAGAGCTTGTAGCGCCTGCAGGTAGAGCTCGCCATCATATAGCATGCCTTCGATTGTTTTCTGCGCCAGACCAGTGACTGCCGACTGTAGATGAACGATTTTTTCTGCGTTTGACAGCCCTGGTTGCTTGTGAATCAGCGCCTCGAAAAGTCCAATCCACTTTGGCCACTCCAGAGGCTCACCCGAGAACTTCGGCAGTGCTATGCGCGGCACGCTGTGGAGCTCGGTGTGACGCGCTGTCGTCTCTCTCTGTTGAGCTGGTGAGGCCTCAGGACTGTTCAGCCTCCTGATCCAGTCTGCTGTTCTCAGGTTGCTGTCACCAACGTTCGCGCTTTCATTCTCAACTTCACAATCGGCAACAGCAGCTTCGTCTCTGATGTCATCAGTTCTATCCAGATTGACTGTCCCTGACTCAATGGCTTCTTGCCGCAGTCGAGCTTCAAGTTCTGCTGTTTCAGCCGTTTCTCTAGCCGCCTGAATCTTCAGGTTGAATTCCTTTTCGCACTGAAGTCGTTTTTCTTCCTGGCGACTCTTCAAGGCGGTCAGACGGGCCTGAATCACAGCCTCATGTGACTGAGCCACAGCTGCCGTCGAACGATGGGACGCTGCTGCACTAGCTTCAGAAGCGGCCTCGTCAGATCTCGATTGAAGGTAAGTCATTATCTTTTGAACCATACTGTTCCGCTGTGCTTCGATTTCAATCATGTATTCGTTTGCCTTCGATTTCTCTTCCCTGTCCGTCAATACCAGCAAGTATGACTCATTGGAGTCCGTCACTGTGTCCATTGCACGGTCAATATCACCGAGCAGCTCTTGGAGAATGGTACGACTGCCTCGAACTGCGATCAGATTCTCGGCTCGATTGCAGATGCGTGTCAACACACGACTTCTTGTTTGCTCGGATCCGCTTCAATCTTGCTGCTTCGGGTGATTGATCCATGTTGATTATTTGCTGATGTTGAGCAGCACGATCATTCAGAGCATACGTTGTTATGCTTAGAAGCCATGCAATGCGCGGAACGTTACGTTATCTGTGGCCATTACGTTAAGTGCGAACGATGCGAAACTCAAAAACGTAACTCAATTCACGATAATGACGTTAGAGCGAACGACGATATAACGCTCAAAGGCTACATTATTCGTGAACATTACGTTAGAGCGAACGAGACGACACACAAATTACGTAATCCGGCCCGGAGGACCAAAAAATGTTGCGAACGAATCGAATTCCGACCCGATCGACCGGTAAAGTTACGAATAAGCAAAATCCGAATAATACGAAAGTCGAATTAAACTTGTTCCGAATCGATCAATCTATATTGTCCGCCATTTGTCCTTCTAATTTCAACGAGTTCATTCACACGACAACAATAGCACCGACGAAATTCCGACTGCGTGAAAATATGCAAAATGGCGCGTGCCATAACACACTGGAGCCGCTACGGCGGCGACACCCCCTTCCTATCACCTGCTGGTCACAGCTAGCCGTGCTCAGGCCTCAGTGCCATTTAACCCTTACCCGCCCCTCGCCTCCTTCTGCTCCCCCCCCCCCTCCACTACCGCAGCGGGTCGCCACAAACCACTGCCGACCATTTCCGCTGCGCTGGTATTAAACAATAATCGACTCTCTGCACGGTTCGGTAATTGCATCGATAATCACCGCAGTGGTGTCTGTTGCACAGTTGCAGCCCGCCTTTATAGGTTCCGCTGATGAATTATCGATGCCAGCACTAATGGGCTGTGTGTGGTTGGGCTATCGTCGGAAGATGTTCGCACAAAATTGGCTTCTAATGAGTAAAACGAGTTGCGTATCGTGATTAAAACAGGAAAACTATCTCAAAGGCTCTTCAAGTTGACTGAATCATTGTGTTTTATAGTAATTTCAATCGCCCCGTCCTTTTTTACATCATAATTTATTGGTACCTACCGAGGTATACCCCAGCCAACTATAGGAGATGCATCCATCGCATAAATCAAGACACCATTATCTCATGGAATTATGAATGAGACATGGATTATTCCCTTAAACCATAGTATCAATCACCCACCGGTAATCCTGAAAGTAAACAGTACAGTAAACACGCATGCACACTGCACACGTTTCATAAATCCCTGACATAAGCAATCGGTTTGCATTAAAACGGTAAAGAATCTGTCATCAACATAAATTTATGTCACCTTAGCATACGGTTTCAAACATTTATTTGATCACGGTAATTTGTCATCAGTACCTACACCGACATGATATACCATGATAAGTGGGCAAATATATTGTTAAGACTAGGTTAACTTTGGCGTCTTTCAGAAGAGCCCAGGAAGGGGCCAGGGGTCGAGGCCAGCCAATGCCAAAACACCGAACGTATAGCTCCGCCCGGACTCACTTAGCAACCTTAACGCTAATGGTCATTTCACGATGGAACCGTGCAAATTATATTAGCGGGAAGTTGCGCCCTAGTCACCTCCCACCTCCGCCAGCACAGGTCGTGCCTCAACACGGAACAGGCCGTGCCACCTAGGTGCGCCGGGGAGAACTACAGGTCGCATAGTGCCACCAGATGTCGCGCACACATGATAGGCGCAGATATATAGATTTTAGGTCGTGGGTGATATATTGTAACAGCGTTGATTTCTACCATGCATGTATTTTAGCAACTCACAGCGTGGGCGCAGGCACTGGAAACACAACGGCTACCACAACTGCACGTAAGTATGTCCGACATACGACTTATGTTTGGACTCGAGGCAACGCAGCCCAAGCGGCCTTTTCCGTTAGGACGCCGAGCGACGGAGTGCGCGCAGCAATTTTTTTTTTGTCTCCCTCTGTTCTTTCTGGGGCGTCTTTCAGAAGAGCCCAGGAAGGGGCCAGGGGTCGAGGCCAGCCGTAAACACTGCCACTGCATGAGAAGTACTGGTGTCCT